TGTACATGTTATGGGGGGATATCAGAGAGTTGTGAGCCTGGCAAATCTAGCTTGGTGTTATGGTTGGCTGGTTGATTGGTTTGTTGTTTAACGCCGCACTCAGCAATATTCCAGCTATATGACGGCGGTCTGTAAATAATCGAGTCTTGACCAGACAATCCAGTGATTAATATCATGAGCATCGATCCACGCCATTGGGATCGATGACATGGATCAACCAAGTCAGCGAGCCTGACCACCCGATCCCGTTAGTCGCCTTTTACGACAAGCATAGTCGCCTTTTACGGCAAGCATGGGTTGCTGAAGACCTATTCTACCCCGGAATCTTCACGGGTCGCGCGGTGTTATGCTTACGCGTGACATATATTGGTATTGACCTGTGTTTGAGTCATCTTTCACAACTTGGCATGCTTTAGTCCAATGACTTGCTGATAACGAACTTCAACTCTGAGGTACCACAACCTCACACATTGAAATGGACAAAACTGAGCATAGAGCAGTCATACATAGAGGGTCATCATCAAAGAATATTGATGAATGGTCGCATGCTGTTTGTGGAAGCTGCGCCATCAGATGCTAAAATTAGACATGGGGTGAAGGAATTTCAGGATGGAGAGGGAGAGAGAGTTTGGAAGAGAGACTCTGGTCGAATCACCACTAGTACCACAAAAGAAGACAATGATGCCATCCACAACATGACTATATCATGAGCATGCGTTTATGAATCACCATCAAATAGGTAATGACACCAGGTGTTCGCGACAAGGTGAGCGTATCCTGCCGCACCATTGGCATCAATCACAAACTCATGCAAATGTCAAATAAGTCAATTATTCACCTGAAAAAAAACAACAACATGGGAACATGATACAAGTCAAAATAGGGAATTGAATCGGTCATACTTTTCGTCAATAATGCGTCACACTTGGAAATGTCTTCCGGGGGTCTACCATAAAACGTTTTGAAAGCTTTGCAAAAACCTGGAATGTTGCAACCATGGTCAAACAATATTTGAGCAAGAGTGGTACAATGCTCTTTGAAGTCTTCACAGAAAGAGCATGCTCGAATGTACCTAAAACGTTTTGAAATGTAGACACCAAAGACTGGACCCGTTGGAATATTGCTCGATATAAAGGGAACGTTTGAAGTCGTCCCTCTTGTCATACAGTCTTGTGGAGAGTTTTTTGTCACTCTGAGTCTGAAGGCATAGATCTAAACATGAAACGACTGAGGCGGTTCCACTGATCTCTTGTATTTCTAGTTCAGGTTGGTAAATCAGTGGAAGAAACTTGGCTATTTCACCGTTATTGAACGATATCACCAATCAGTTTCCTTTGGGACAGACAGCAAAGGCAGAGTACACATTGATTATTTACCATGTGGAACAACTGTGAATGGTGAATATTATGTCAACCTGATGAATAGATTGCGTGAGTCTGTCCAAGAGAAACTTTGACGTGGTGTTCTCCTGCAGGACAATGCTCCAGTTGACACCGGTCACTTCGCAATGGCTGCTGTTCAGGAACGTGGATACGAGCTTCTACACCACCCGTCAGATCAGGCCCCTGGTGACTGTCACCTGCTTTTTAAATTTGAAAGAAATATGCTTGGGTGGTCACAGTTACAAATTACATAGGAATTAGTGATGTAGTTGGGTAAATAAACATCAGAGGGGTTCAGTGTTCAAAGAAAGATTTTGTGTGTGGACAAGTAAGAGTTAGTCGGACACAAGTTGTGAAATTCTTGACATGCATTTGTAGCATGAACATGAACTTTAGGTTGCATTTGTCAATTATTGCTTACACTGGTGCAGGTTTTATATAGCTAAATTGAGCCCTATCCTTATGAATTTTCTTGGCAAGTAATTTATGTTTTGCTTAATAAATTAATCATTTGCGCAAAACTCTTTTTGAAAGTTTGTGAAGGTTTCTTGATAACCCATCACAGATGTGATTAACATTACAGTGGGCATGTTGGATTACCGGAAACACAAGTAATTTATTTCCTTGCTTAATAGAGTGGTTTTATGTGGAAGGTTCTTCTGGATCCAAAGCGGACGACAACCCCTGTGTTGAGCAGCTTGCTGCAGTGTCAGAGCGGGTGCTCCAAGGTCTTAATAAATTACATGTTGCCCTGTGGGCAATGAAGAACCCAACAGTATGACAATGAGCGTGTAGTGCATTGTCATGTACAAGACTCTCTCCGCCAAATGCAATTCGCATTGTATTGTACTGTTTGTTGTTTAACCCCGTACTCGGCAATATTCCAGGTCTATAACGGCGGTCTGAAAAAAATCGAGTCTGGACCAAACATCCTGTGATTGACATCATGAGCATCGGTCCACGCAATTGGGATACGATGACATGCATAAACCATGTCAGCGAGCCTGACCACCCGATCCCGTTAGTCGCCTCTTACAAGCATAGTCGCCTTTTACGGCGAGCATGTGTTGCTGAAGAACTACTCTACCCCGTATCTTCAGGGTCCTGCAATTCGCATACAAGGCAAAGCGTGGAGTAGAAAACTCTACAGTGACAAGTAAATGCCTTAAGTAAACATCTAGATTTCGCAAAGACCTATGTACGTGTTATATTCGTGGATTATAGCTGGGCTTTTAACACAATTCAACCTATTCCCTGATGCTACAGAAACTACGTAACATGAACGTCAACCCTAACATCACTCTATCGATTGCAGACTTTCTTACTAACTGGTGGCAGTTGTGTTAGTTATAAAACAAACTAACAAAGAAGACAAAGAACACCGGTGTCCCACAGGGTTGCGTGCTATATCCAGTGCGTTTCACATTTTATACTAATGACTGCAGAAGTGATAAAGATGGAACGTTAACTGAAACAAATACAGATGAGGCAGCCCTTGTTGGTCTTATAAGTGATAGTGAGTGAGTTGGGTTTAACGCGCCGCTTTTAACAATATTCCAGTTATATTGCGGCGTGTCAGCTTAATGTTGGAGGGGACCCCAAAGTGATGCAGTTCTCAGACGTTTACCACTTCGGTGAAACCCACGAGCACTGGTATGGTGCTGACAAACATAGAAGCATAATCGGGGCGAACTGGCATTCGAAACCACAATCATAGGTTTCTGGCGTGCCCAAGGGACACAACTCTGCACAGCGAATCGCGCCGCCTTAGACGACTGGGCCCCTTCTTATAATTGATAATGATGATACCCGTGTGCGGCAGAGCTATAGACAAATCTTGTAATTGTTGTAAAGACAACTTTTTGATTATCAACACAAAGAAAACGAAAGGATGATAATAGACTTCAGAAATTCAGTGTGTATTCATAGATACTTACAGCATAGAAGTCACCACTGAATACAAATACCTTGGAACTGTTGATGGTGATGAGTTGACCTTTACAGAAAATACCAAAAGAATTTACAAAAAATGTCAGTGTTTCTGTTCACATAAACCAAGGTCCTTTAATGTCAGCAATTTTACTCGTTCTGCTTACAAATCATATATTAAAAGCATCCTGTGTTTCAGTATGCCTGGTTGGATTATGTTGTCTTTCTTCAATAAATGAAAACAAACAAGTATTTGTCACAGAGTGACGAAATATCCCCCGCCATATACACCATAGTACCAAATATGAAGACAATCCAGCGATTAGTTCTTGAGATATTGTGGCAACACCGTTTTCCAACTCCAAAAACAGATTTGCCTGCTGTGACCTTGAAAATGGGGTCGCGCGGCGGGGGATAATTATCTAAAATCATTAACATTGCATGCAAAATATCAGGGTCCCTTCAGAACATCTTCATCTCTTAGGCCAGTAGCAAATCGAAAGCCTAGCTGTCAAAATTGTCACAGACTCTCAACATTTCCTTGATAATGAAGACAAATTTCACCTTTAGGGCACCACTTTCAAATCTCCCGTTTCAGAACCAACAGAGCATCAACAACATTCATTCCATGCACTCTTAAACAAGTAATTGCTGCCAGCATTTAATCCCTTTTTATCACATCTACTAATTTTATTTGTATGCTGAGTCTACAATGTCAGTGCTTCTTTTTATGTCATATCTTTCCTGTGTAAATCTTATGTTCTTAATTCTCTTGGTATTTTGTTATGCACATAATATATCTTACAGTTTATGCCATCACAAGTTCACTTCAGGTTAATAAAGTAATATTATGTAACACCAAGTCAGCAATATTGAAGCCAAATCATGGTGACATCTTCTTGACTGACACAAGTAAAGATCTATGTCATCCATGGTTACAGATCCATTCATTTTCTGTGACCTTGACTGATTATCATCCTAATGCCCACAGACTTTTCCCAAATTTGGTAATGATATAGTACAATGTCCTACCAAGAGCTGATAAAATCATAAAAATGTTGTACTGCCAGTTCCATGGACAAAATCAGTCATCATGAGTGAGTGAGTGAGTGTGTATGGTTTTATGCTGCTTTTAGCAATATTCCAGCAATATCATGGCAGGGGACACCAGAAATGGGCTTCACACATTGTACCCATGTCAGGAATCGAACCCGGGTCTTCGGCGTGACGAGTAAACGCTTTAGCCACAAGGCTACCCGACCGCACCTCCATAGTCATCATGGCACAATGACACACAAGAAGCCAAGTCACATCCTGGCAAGATCATTTCACCTTTTGACATTTCTTTGTTGGTTGTTTAAAGCCAGACTCAGCAATATTCTTCCAGCTTTAAGATGGTGGCTTGTAAATAATTGTGATTGATATTGTGAACAAGGAGCCAGGTCACTGGGGTATGATGACAAGCAATCAACCAATCATCGAGGCTGACCCCTCTATCCATTTTGTCGCCTCCTACGACCAGCATATGTTGCTGGGGATCAATTCCAACTGAGACCCTCATGAGGGTGAAAGGGATGGAGTGATGGTGTCTTTTATGATCCAGGTCCCTACACTTATAGGATATCAATAATGGTTCATAGGACAGTTCAATAACAATTATCAATTCATCACACCTTTCAAACTTGAGTGTTAAATGAAAACGTAACTTTATTTTCAAACAATTACAAGTTACACAATGAATCATGCCATTTAACAAAAAGAAAAAGGCATCAAATAATCAATAAATACTTGTGAAATTTGAAGATGTTGATAGCAAACCATGTACAAATACAAAGTCATGACATGATTTGACCTTCTTCTGCAATCGTTCTCTGGTAGTACTATACATTCATCAATGTGTAGTGTTGGCCTAGTCCAGGTGTGGCCACCATGCTTCCCGCTGATGCTTTCGTCACAGTCATCTGACAGCCTCATCACCGCCACTCCCTGCTCTCGTCACAGGAGTCCCCTACACAATCCTCACTTGCATCCGGAGTAACACTAGTTTCCTCAATAAATCCTCACCCTTAAAACCGATGCCAGTGAAACTGGTCAAGATTTATGTTACGGCTAGTCTGAGCTGCTCTTTACCGCTTCCTTGTCGTGAAACACAGCCTTAGAGTTTGCCTGCGACTCTTTATCACGGGAACTCATCTTCCATCTCATAAAGGCCACTTTCATCCTGTCCCAAGCTGCACCTGGAGAATCGAACGCTGGTCGCACGTCTAAAAGCGTGAACTCGTAAGTGCTTTTATTCACTGCTCCACCATCATAATAGTCAATAATGTAGCGAACTTCCTTGCCACAGCGGTCAACAATCCAGTCATGCCGGTCAAAAGGGAGCTCATACCTGAAGAATAAAAAACAGGATCTGGTAAATTGCACAGCAGTAATACGCATGGCGATATACACAGTCAATACAGATAAACCATCAACATCGACCAGTGATCCTTTCATCTACGAAGGTGTTACTCAGTGGTGTTCATATAAATTGACATGATCAATATGGAGACCTCCAAGAAGACATTCAGGATCAGGATTTGCAAAGACCGTTTGACCATAGTGCTCTACACCGTTGTTTTTTGTCATATTATTTCACATACCGGTAATGTATTGATCATCCATTATTTGCCTCAGTGCCTTTATTAAGGGATTCTGAAACCTTGTACCAACATTACAGTCATCTCCAGACATAAGGGTAGGAATAGGAAAATATTACCCATCAGGATTGAAGGATCGATTGTAATAGTTTCCCAATAATTCAATAATTGGCCTGTGTATTCTGGCAATAGTCAAGCTAGTTGGTCCAATGAAGCAATATGATGTATCACCTCATTGTTAAGATATATGATGCTATACAGCTTCACAACATCACAAATTGATGTTTTATCAGAAACAATAGATTGACTTGCCAAATTTCTGACTGACATTTATTTATTCCTTTAAAAAAACTTACAACCGCTGAGATATAGAATCCATGAAATAAATTCTCATGAATCCTTGTGAATAAACGCTGTATGTGGCTGAAAGCTCTACAGGGTACACTAATCAATCACTGAGTACAGAAAAAGTAGAATTCTTCGAAACTCACTGGTTATTCCCAAGTATTGGATTTAACAAATCTATCACTGGTTCCTTGTTTATGGTAACATAAAGGTATTTGTGATCAGCAATTCTAAGGGAACATGTCCTTAAAATAAGCATACTCATCGTCTATTGATTCTAACACAAGTTTAAAAAAATAGTTTCATCGCTTTGATTCAAACTCCAAAATAAAAAGCGTATCTGTTTATACTATATATGTGTATGTAGATGATATGGAGGGGTACTGCCATGACAGATGCTGTGTATATCCCTGGGACAGACAAGATTTAACAAGCCCCTACTCTGACTCCCCTCCAGTTTTTACCTGAGAAGACACATCGACTGTCCTCCTTTGCTAGTGTTTTTCTCAAGGACCTGTCATTTATGATAGTGTGTGGGGCTTGAACATCCCTTTGACCTTTTTTTTGCACCTTCTCTTAAGTGTTTGTCTGGATTTTTTCATGACCCTCACAAAGAAAACAAAACTGTCAAAGCTGTTATTTTAAAAATAAATTAAATGAAAAAAATATGTGTCCTATATTTTCATATCCCACTTCCCAAAAGGGAGAAATAGTTGCATGTCCCACTCACTGAACCTGTCATACTTTTGTGTTTTGTCCTCCACCAACAATATATGACGGGCTCCTTAAGCTCTATTGACATTGACTTAAAAAAAAAACCACTTTCCCTCTCAACCGATTTGTCAAATAAACATTAGAATTAAATGAGCCCTGAGACTGCCATTCACAACACTCTGTACAGATAGGAATACATCACCTCATCACAGGGCTGCTTGGAGTGAGTGAGTGAGTGAGTGAGTGAGTGAGTTTGGTTTTACGCCGCTTTTAGCAATATTCCAGCAATATCACGGCGGGGGACACCAGAAATGGGCTTCACACATTGTACCCATGTCGGGAATCGAACCCGGGTCTTTGGCGTGACGAGCGAACGCTTTAACCACCAGGCTACCCGACCGCCCCAGGGCTGCTTGGAACCTTATCACCAGTGTCCGCGCACCAATTAATATGTATGTGTAGGTTCCCTTACCCTTGCTACTCTTTTTGTTCCCTTACCCTTTTGGGCAATTCTGATACATAGTTGGTTTTGTATGGTAAAAATATGTCAGTACATGGAAAAATAGAAAGATATCTGAATATGGTCTATGATGGGACCTGTGATATATTTTAAATTCTCATACAAGAAATCAAAGTTATTACTCCTCTTTCTTATGCAGCTGATGAATTACAAATTCCATTTCACAATTTTGAAAATGATCTTTGAAGTGTATACCACCAAAGTGAGTGAGTGAGTGAGTATGGTTTTACGCCGCTTTTAGCAATATTCCAGCAATATCACGGCGGGGGACACCAGAAATGGGCTTCACACATTGTACCCATGTCGGGAATCGAACCCGGGTCTTCGGCGTGACGAGCGAACGCTTTAACCACTAGGCTACCCAACCGCCCCACCACTAAAGTGAAGATACAAAAAGCAAACCTCAGGTAATTATTTCCTCATCTTGAATAAACAAACAATTCACACTGCTAAACACATCAACACCCTAAGAAATGAAAGCTGGTAGGTACGTAAGCAGCAAGTAACATTCTGTCAGTGGTATATCTGTTCACCAGTCCTATAAATACAGCTGCCGCAAACATGGCTTGATTGTCATTCATCATGATGAAAGAAACATCTTCGCAGTTTACAGTAAGAACATGTTTCTTTTGGCTTTAAACATGTTAAATAGTGTTACTATTTTCATTCATTGTCTAAAAATCAATATTAATCTTAAATCACCATGAAGAACAATGGGGTTGAGCACAAAAAACACTTTGGCTCTTAAGGCAATGGAAGCAATTAATGAAGGCTTGTTTGTGTGGGGGCGTCAGATGTTTTCCCTTGGGAAAATTGTGGGATTGTTTAATTCAAGGTGTTTCAGCTCCGGGCATGTCAAATTAAGGTGGGTGGAATGTTTGTTTGTTTGCTGCATTGATACATGCAATTGGGATAGGACATGCATCTACAAAGTCAAGCATGACCACCTGAACCTGTTAGTTGCCTCTTATGACAAGCATGAGATGGTGAAGACCAATTCTAACCCGGATCTTCACTGGTCGGTGGGAGGAACATCCAAAGTTATGCAGGTCTTTGACATTTACCTTTATGCTGAATCCAACGAGTACCGGTATGGTCAGACAAACCAAGATTAACAATCAGGGAAAATCTGAGCTTTGAACCCACAATCACAAGATCCTGGAACACCTAAGGGGCACAACTCTGCACAGTGAATTATGGTGGTGAAGATGACCAATGACAGCACATGTTTAAAGAACAGCTTAATAATAGTTTACAAACCATGATTCTATTGTTAGATTCAGTCCCTGATCAATACTTCTAGTTTAGTATGCCAAGAAAGAAATTAAGGTAAAAATACAAACATATTCACTTAATGTTTAGTAAATCCATTCATATAAATATTGCACTATCTGTAACCAAGCTGTGTATTTCATCAGTTACTGGCTGGAGCACTAGTCTTATACATCCCACTCAGAGAGTCTGGCTGTCAGAGATACTGGTTTGGATGCCAGCTACCAACAGGAGGGAGGAAGATAATGACTGCTGGATATTGTAGGCAGCTGATTGTATGAAAACACAGATCTCAAACATAATTGTAGTGTAAAACAGTAGGCCTCGATTATGTGTGACAGTTGTGTGCCTGGAGTGTCCTACAGCCTTGCCTCTCCCACTACGCTCTCACAGCAGGCCATGTTTCAGATCAATAGCAACTCCATCCAAATAATGAGATTTTCATGCACTTTTTTTATCACTGTGAAAAACTGCTTCAAACTAAATAGAACTTGAAGACATTAACACCATCGCTATGACATAAAACTGCAGTTTTAGACATAAATGAATACATTTAACCTTGAAAAATATTTTGTAATTGAGTCTGACATGCTTATTCTATTCTCTGTTGGCTGTTAATCCAATGGTGAATGAATGAAATGCAGAATGCTTCATGACTGATTCATGGTGTCTTTCCATTGATGGATGCAGCTTGGAACATTTTGGATAAATAAACCTGGTAAAGAATGAATCATGAAAACTGTCAAGCAAGCAGATGACAATCCAGTTATGAAGACAACGCTTGTGTTTTACTGCACTAATGACTATGGAATAAACATGTCATATTGCCCGCCATTCAGGATTTACTGCCTCCTATCAGTGACAGGACTGTCATACATGACATTAAACTGTCTGTCTCCTGTTGTACTATCAGCCACAGTGTATACACTTTGTGGTAATCAAATGTCTTCTATACCTTGGTGGTGGTTACAAATGAGCCCGAGACAGATGCAGATAGCCACCCAACATTCACACCTCAGCATGTCACTGTGAGTGAATGAATAAATGAATGTATTAATTAAATAACATTTAGGTGTTGTTATGCGAAACCTGAAATCTTCTGGTTAATCTTTTGTTTTGTGCAACATGAAACATGATCCTTCAGCTGTGGAACTGCAGCTCTTAAGAAACCAGTTGCAGCTCAACCTGAGACTATCTTCTTCCCTGGACTTGTTCATGAGCCAGCTAAAGACCTATCTGTTCAGAAAATACTTCTGTCCATAATCTAATTGCAGAGGCTTTGTCTGTATATATCAGCCCTCTAAGTTTGTATTTTGAGCAGGGAGCCAAGTGGCTCCTAATACAAATATTTAAGGAGCCAAATGTAAGTCTTAGGAGCCAAACTATTTTTCCCAAGGAGCCACACTGACTCAGTGAGAGTTTGAGACAGGACATATGTTCGCAGGGGTTTCATTGTGTGAAGTATAAAGATGGACATTGAATTGTAAATTTAATAAAAATGCAAATATTTCCTTTTTTGTTGTACAGTATCATTACAGGCCACCCAAAAAAAATGTTGTAGTTCCGATTACAGCAATATTTAAAATAGGGTAGGTACGTAGGATTCTCTCTGTTTTTTTAAAAAACAATTTAGATTAATAGTTCCAAGAGGACAACAAGGATTGTAAAACTGAATGCTTTGCTCTGTGTCATCCTCACATCATGCATAATATCATCAAATCTGTAACGCTGATATTTTCCATAAATGATTTCTTTGTGTTTACAGTAATGTATGTAAATGTGATCGTAAGACTCATAATGTTTTGTCATTTAATTATTTCTCTGTGTGTTCATTTGCGTCCATTGGCTCAGAATCGTGTCAACCATCAATGTTATAAATTCCAACGCAGCTGTCATCAT